AGTTGAAGATTTCATTTGGCCACAACTAAGTCTCTAGGACTATCATGTGGTTCAAGTTATTTAACAGTTGAAGATTTCATTAGGCCACAACTAAGTCTCTAGGACTATCATGTGGTTCAAGTTATTTAATGGTTGAAGATTATATTTGGCCACAACTAAGTCTCTAGAACTATCAGGTGGTTGAAGTTATTTAACGGTTGAAGATTTCATTAGGCCACAACTAAGTCTCTTGGACTATCAGGTGGTTGATGTTATTTAACAGTTGAAGATTTTGTTAGGCCACAACTAAGTCTCTAGGATTATCAGGTGGTTGAAGTTATTTAACAGTTGAAGATTTCATTAGGCCACATCTAAGTCTCTAGGATTATCAGGCCTTGAGAATTAAAGCTACTCACCAAAACAAGCTATATCAATATCTGCTAACAAAAAGGGGTCAAACATACTTATACTATAAATTTTAAACCAACTAGTGGGGTTACAAGTGCCATTAAAATAAGATTAAGCTGTAAAAGCAACAGCAATTCTCAAACTGTTCACAATAGTTCAATTCATATAAAAAAAAGTGTGGAAACATTTTTTAAATTAATTCTAATCATAAAAGTGCTATTTCAAAAAGATTATTTAAAATTACTAAAAACTAACTTGTAATTATTCCAAAAATATGTATCATATATTTTCCTTATGACATTACTTATATTATAGATAGCTCAATCCAGGGAAAACATGCTTACATATAATATTAGTTCAAACTTAATATGTATCAGAAATACAATTATATATGGTTTTATATTAACAACCATCACGAGTTGCTAAAAAAATCTCTTCTGTCGGACAGAGTCACATTTCAGTTGATTGCTGATGAATTGAGCAAAGTAAATTTTAACCATTTAGAAACGAAACAAAACATGGTATTTTTTAAGGTCTTATAATGTAAATATTAAATGTTAGAAACTGTTTAATCCAAACTTCTCAAAAGCTGTGTATCCCTTGATCATTATAGGTACATTAATATGTTTTTTAAATAAAAAATGCAAGTTTTTAGTGCCTGGATGGTAATAATGCAGTTTATGCTTGTACCATTTAACCTTTTCATACCAAGGTGATTTCAACCAGATGCTAATCTTCTACAGCTCATGATAATAAACTAATAAATTGATAAAATAAAAGGGATTAATTACTCATTAAGAATGGTAAAACCAAGTTTGCAAGGATAGAGTAAAATCAGAACATAACCTTTTCCACCCACTAATAAAATTAGATGCAAGCAGTATTGCTTAAAAATTTAGGCTTCAGTTAAAGGATACCTATTTCAACAATCAAGTGAAGAACTGTTAAAATACATGCTTTCTATAGCTAATCACCTTGTAAGAACCTTTAACAAAAGGTAAGAATATAGAAAAACAATGCAAATTGCTTTTCATCCAAACAAAAAGTTAGTTTTAGAATCACAATAATTTTGGGTTATAAATATTTACAGAGATTGAAATATAGTACATTATTGTAATGATCAGAAAACTGTGTCAATTAGCTTTTAACTTGCCTTGCTGAGCAAAAAGGATAACACAAAATGGTTACTAACGCTCTGTTCTTTCAAAACAGGATAATTTTGACTATGCAACATTACACACGTTCTCGGATGAGATAATTTTTCATAACTGTACAAATACGAGGGCAGTCTGTAATTCATTAAAAATGAGTAAAACTTAACCCTAACTAGATCTTCCATTAAATCTAGAAGTGAGTAAAAGAATGCTCATTTTTGGCTAGATGTCTTTAGTATATTCACAAGAGATTTTTAAACAATACAATCAGTGAATCTCACTTCTCAACTTTCCAGCCTCATGTGTTACACGCTTATTTCAAGCTGCCTAGATGTGTCTGTTCAAATGTTTCAAGTGTGCAAGAAAAAGCTTCATGGTAACAAAAACTTCAAAACTAACTAATCTTATATTTTTATATAAAAATATCCAAAAACAGTTTACTATTCAAAATACTGGCAAATCCATGTAACATTTTTTAGGGCACAATTAAGACATTTTACTTGCTTGGTATCATTTTATATAAAGGTGGGAGTGAATCCAATACCTATAAAAACCTTGACCTTATTTAAATCATAAGCAAGGTTTTAAGGTATCGAAACAAAAATTTTGCCTTTTTTTTTTTACTACAATAAAAGATACTTAAAACTTTAAACAGGTTGTTCTGACTTTTCCACTAAAAAATGTTAGGTGGACTTGTTCTTATACAAACACAACATTGCCCTTTCTACACTTCACCCAGTGAAACTACTGAACATATGGGTTATTAACTAAAACAACGTTATGATAACACCAACAAGAGGCTGAAAAGTAGAAGGTTGCAAACCTGGAACCACTTAGCATGTCTCAAGGCGGCCAAGGCATCCAGGCATTTCTGCCTGTCCAACACATCCGGAGGGTCTTTAACATTCTCTAGAAACCAGATGATAGTATATATTAATGCGTTTGGTTAAACTAACACAAGAAAGGTTTTTTGATCTTCAATTTGGCAGAACTGTGTCCTTTCAACATAAAGAGACCAACACTGCCAACATTTAATAAAAAATAAAATGGCATTAAACAAAAAAAAGCTCTTTAAGACTAAAATATCTTAAGACACTTCTTTAATTACATTTTTTTCTTAACGATACTTACTTTTTCAACACCTTCTCTGTATATCTATAAAAATTTCTAAATGACATAATTTGCATATATTAACCTTTTCCAGCCTCAACATTCAGGGTCACACATCGAAAAAGTCTGTGACATCAAATTTTGAAAAACTTGTAATGTATACCCACAAATATTTTCCGAAATAAAATTATTACTGAAATATTGAAATTTTAAACTTTCTTTCAATTAAGTTTTATTATTATTTGTTTATAATGAAATAACTTTTAAAAGATAACAATCTTTAGCTCTAATTGTCCACCTTTAGCCTATTTTCAAAAACTTTTATTCAGGATGTGTAAGTAAATAAACTTCCTGCCTGCACAAATACACTTCGAAAGATGAAACAAGGCCAGAAACACGTAGATTTAGAAGAAACGTGAAGTTTACTTTTAACTGATATAACTTAAAAATAATAAACAGTAAATTTTTGAAGTTGGTGATATCAAGAACTGCAGAAATTCTAAAGTTGTTCCGTATCACACAAACAATACAAGACTGTTAATAACTATTTCTAATATAGCGTTTAACAAGCTTCTTGATGTACTAACAAAAACATTTTGAAATTTCTTGTGCATATAAGGAAGAAAGGGAGTTCTAAACATGAGAGTGTGAGAAAGAAAATAATCCAAAATTTAAGACTGTAATGAGTTAATTTCATGGGTTTCCTTGTGTGTTTATTTTGTTCAAGTTATTGCTTTGGTAGATCAAATGTTGCATACAAAAATACTTGCTATGGTAAATTGACATCTAACAGAAAAGGTAATTGTTCTTACTTATGAAGTCCATGAATAGCATAGATCAGATATGTTTCACCGTGTGCTCTGGCCTCTAGTATTTGAAACAGCTGTATACAATAAAGATAAGTTTTATGTATAAGATAGAACATTACTGTATCTTTAAATTAGTTATAATGCATTAGCAGTTACTTTATTGCACCAATTCTTTTAACAAAATTTGATATCGCTTGATGTATTATTCATAAAGACTGTTCGCAATGTTCCTCCTGAAAGATGAATTGTATATTAATTTTCATTAGAATGAAATACATAAAGAAATAACAGTGCTGTGTAAAGATATAAAACTTGTTGAAATGATGAATGCATGTCTCTTTAGTGAATAATTCATCATTTTGTATAATAAACAATACTTTAGATAGTGTAAGAATGAAAGAGGGATACAAGTGGATCTTGAGTAACAGCCTATATAGGCCAGTCATGTAAGAAACATAGCTCATATACTAATGGTTACAAGCATACTGCATAATGTCAGAGTATACTGCTTAACGTGGTGGTTTATATTTCACTATAATTTGTAAACTTACCACAAAAATCAAATGTATATTTCAAAATTCCCCATGGTTATTGTGATGTATGGTTGAAATGTCTGTCTGTTCAGATATGGAGACTTATAAGTTATTAATTTTTAGTAATGAAAGATCATGGGTGGAATAACACTGGACAAAGGCAGCAAAAGGGTTAAAACTAGACATATACTTATTTGAATTTTTTTATAATATATTCAAAATAACATATTATGAAGAATTAATGATTTTTTTAAAGTATATACATACATACATATATATATGCATGTAAGTATGTATAAACATAGCACACACACACACATAACTTCATAAAAATACCTAGGTATAACAGTCAAAAAGCACCAGTGTGTGAAGAATGAAGACAAAGGTTTAGATGTTACACATTCACATTAGTAGAAAACAAGAAATGTAAAATTAACATTTCTAGTTATCACCATCTTCTATTATTCTAGTGTATATATACATATTTAAGTTCATTTTCTATTTTTGTTTGTTTGTTTGTTTTCCTTACCTTTAGATCATAACAGAAAACATTTATAACTTTATTTTTAGTAAATGCACCAAAAAAAATACAAAAATATTTCTAGATATCTGGTCTCATTAAAATTAACTACGAGTATTTTTCAGAAAGTGACGATTTAAAAAAAAATCATATTTGCTAATACTTGATCACAACTGATTGCTATTACTATTATTATATATAGAGAGAGTTTTGTTTTTATTTTGTTTCATGCAAAGCTACTCAAGAACTATCTGCACTAGCCAACACTAATTTTGAAGTAATAGGCTGAAGGGAAGGCAACTAGTCAACACCACCCACTATCAACTCTTGGGCTGTTATTTACACAATGATAGTGGGATTGACTATCACATTACAACATCTCCCACAGCTGAAAGGACGAGCATGTTTGGTAACAGGTTTTGATCATGTGATCTGCAAAATGTTAGTCAAGTACTCCAACCACCAGGCCATGCCAGGCCTATACAGAGAAAGAGAGAAAATGCAGTAAGAATATGTAAAGGAAACAAACTCTGAACAGTTTGTTACTGGATTCACAGTTCTGTAGCAATAAAAACTGAGAAGTATGGATATGTTATTCCCAATGAACAGTATTATAACACATGTTGATGTCAAAAAACAAAACACCAACTGAATCAAGTATATGACAAATTTCCAAGTCAGCCAATTATTTTCTTTTTTTTTAAACATAAAAATAACAGCCAAACTGACAGACCTCAATTTCTCTCAGAACGAGTTACTTTCTCAGTCATATCTAAAATCTTATAATCACAGTTATTTTGCTTCTCCAATCAATTTTTAAAGTCTACTTAAAAACAATATTCAGATTTTAAAGCAAATCTATAAAAAATGTTAAAGGTTATGACACAGTGTCCATAAGATCAAAAATCCTTTCTTATTCACCAAACACAATAGAGCATTCTCCACTCGTCTTGATCATTGTTACATGTCGGACTGACAAATCAGCTAAACAAAGCATAAAGCATATGGATTACTAAAAGCAATTAACAACAGTGGCTTCTGATTTACATACAACAGATAAACAATATGTATCTCCTTGGAATATATGCAAGTCCGTCATAATGGAAAGAATTTCAATCTTTGCTAACAGTTAAAACTAACAATAACATATCCAATTCACTGGATATAAATTTAAAAAGAAACAGACGACAAATCAGAGAAGTGCTTTTAACTATATAAAAACTATTCTCATAGAAGTACAAAATTATATAACTTACCACAAATGACTGAGAAAAATACAGCAATTAGCACATGTACTTTTATTCACACAAAAAAATTATAACTTATTTAAAAAAGAAGTTTTAAAATGTAACTAATGAAAGTTCCATACATTTAAACCTAAGCATAACAATAAAAACATTCCATTTTATAAAAAAAGTATAATTCAGACAAAACAATAAAAAAAAAAACCTCTGAGTTTTAACATATTTGTGTTGTTCATGAATGTTAGAAGTATGAAAAATCACATATTTTAAGAAAATTTACCGTTAATCTATAAAAAAGCATTTTATATAACAATAAAAGTTAAATCTGCATTATAACAAAATCTTGCAAACCCTACATGATGTTCTTACTGGATGCTGTGTACGTGTCTTCTGTGGAGAACGTAGTGTGTCGTTCTAATCCTAGTTTGTGGTTCATTGCTTACAAATGGATCTTGATGCAAATTTAATTTTTTTCTTTAAGACCAATTATGTTATGTTCAGCATATGATAGTGGATACTGAGTGTGGTTATAGAAGTATGATTCTGTTCATTGAGATGTTAATATACAAACTGATTTGGAAAAAAATCTTTTTAAAAGTATTACTTCATTCTTTGCACATAATGCAGTTTGTAATTTATTTTATAAAGGGTTTATCATACACCTAATAAATCACCAAAAAATTATCTTAGTGGTAAGTCACACGAGTTATATAACTGTTAAATAGTGATAGTCAGAAATTATTTATCATGGACAGACATAGCTAGAACTAATGCAATTGAATTCTTTGTGCAGTATGAATAACACATTCTATTGAAATAACTCAGGTACTGGAAAAAACTATAAAGTATAATCAGATAAAAAATGAATGTCACAATGTTAAAATGAAACCAAAAGATGGTGTTTTTAAGCATCTTCCTTCTTTGTCACGAAATTACTGATTAAAAAAGGGTTCTACTTAATCAAAAGAAACATTACCAATTAAAAAAATCCTCATTTTGAAATATTAACAAAATAGTTTTCCCATTATTGCACTTTTTAATAATCAACAGTGTTTCACTATCTATGACAATGATGCCTATTATAAAAATTTGTGACCCCAAGGCAGCTTATCATGTTACATTGTTTTTCGAGCCTTCCTAACAATATTTATTGGAGCAAAATATAAAGAAATATAATGCCTGTTCAAATATCATATCTTGAAATTAAATACTTCATATCTTAAGAACATTAATTTTTCACAAGTTAGATCAAAGAATATTTGTATTTTCCTTCACTTCTTACTCTTCTATATAAATAATTTACCTTAACATATGACTAAACCTAAAATTACCAGTAATAAAAATACAGTAACAAGTACAATTGAAGATATTTCTAAACTGCAGAGAAGGCCTTACCAGCTGTTGCTCCCTCAGTATCTTTAGCCTCTCTCATCATTGGTGAGGTTAGTGTTACAGTCACTGTCACCTCTGGATTGGACTTGGCATGAACCATTATTGCTGCTTCCTCAACGCAGAGCTTTACTTTGTAACTGGTCTTGGTTTTCAATTCCTATTGAAAAGAATGATCTTAATAAAATTTTTATACATTATGTTTCTTACTTTTGCATCACATAAACATCTTTAATTCTTTTCAATCCAGTGGGCACTTCTACAAATAACTCAAAAACAAAG